AAGAGAAAAAAGTTCTCCTAGGAAGGATTTCCTGCTCAGCTGAATGCTTCTGCAAGGTCATGTCCTGGAGTCTATCTCCTTTTATCATTTCTGTCTCTCAGAATGGTACCTACCCTCCCCTTCAAAACCCGGGTGAGATGGCATGACATGAGCAGTCACTCTCAGGGCTCCTTCACAACTGTATCCCCAAGATGTTGGTACTTTTTCTCAGTCTTCATTCTCCTGATTCCCTATTACTCTGCAACATCAGGAATTTCCTGATACTTTGTGACAGTCCCTCTCTTCTCCAGTAGGGTTTCATTGATATGGGCTTTTTAAATTGTTTCCTATTATTGAAGAACCATATTTTTCTTTCTTTTCCATCCCATAAATATCTCTTTCCTATGGTGTCCTTGAACTTTTTCTTTTCTTACTTTGTAATGTCATTTATGTGCAAAGCTTCAAGGATCATTCTGTGCCAGATTTCAAAACCCAAATATCATGCCAAACCCAATCTTTCTCAAAATCAAACTCTCATTCTCAAATTCCTGCTAGACTTGACTACATCCGTCACACTGACATTTAAAAAACCATTATTTGCAAAAACAAACTCTTCACCTTTACTCTAAAACCTCTTTTTCATTGTTGTATTTTTATTTATGCCACAAACATCTTGCCACTTGAACTATTAAAGTCATTTTTTAGTCTTTCCCTTTACCCCAGGCATACAGTAAACGTATTTCTATTGAACTTCCTAAACATTTCTCTCTACTTTTCATTTACATACAATCTCTTAACTGGTTTCTCCACCTCTCATTTCTCCCTGCTCCAATCCATTCTAAACATTTTCTGCTAAAATTTCAATTTCTAAAACCAATACAATTTCAATGTACACTGCCTTAGAAACCTTTCATAAGTATTTCCTTGCTTTAAAACAGGAAACAGAATTCTTAACCCACCGCCTAAGGGTTTTTTAATTCATTCAGTGCATATCTATTGAGTGACTACTACTGTATACCAGTCACAGTGCTTGGATTCAGCAGTAAGCAAGACACAGCCACAGCCTACGTGATTTTTACATTCTAGCAGGGAAACTAGTGAACAAGTAAATTTAATCAATATATACTATTTAAGATATTGATATCATCTATAAATAAGAATGAACAGAGTACAAGACGCCTAAAGCTCAAGAAATAAAATCAAGAATTAATAGATGGGATGGACTCAAACTAAAAAGCTTCTTCTCAGCAAAAGAAACAATCAATGAGGTGAACAGAGAACCTACATGTTTAGGAGCAAATTTTTGCCACACACACACATCAGATAGAGCACTAATCTCCAGGATATATAAAGAACTCAAAAAACTTAACACCAAAAAAAAAAAACCCAATCAATAAATGGACTAAGATGAAAATTTGATCAACACATACATTAAAAAATGTTCAACATCTCTAGTAATTAGAGAAATGCAAATCAAAACTACTCTAAAATTTCATCTCAAGCCAGTCAGAATGGGAGCTATTAAGAATACAGAACAGGGCTGGGATTGTGGCTCAGCGGTAGAGCGATTGTCTAGCACGTGCGAGGCCCTGGGTTCGATCCTCAGCACCACATAAAAATAAATAAACAAAATTAAGGTATTGTGTCCAACTACTTCTAAAAAATAAATATTTAAAAAAATACAGAACAATAAATGTTGGTGAGGATGTGGGGTAAACATTACACTCATACATTGCTGGTAGGACTGCAAATTGGTGCAACMAATCTGGAAAGTAGTATGGAGATTCCTCAGAAACTTGGAATTGAACCACCATTTGATCCAGCTATCCCACTCCTCAGTCTATACCAAAGGGACTTAAAATCAGCATACTATAGTAATGCAGCCACATCAATGTTTATAGCAGCATTATTCACAGTAGCTAAACTGTGGAAGAAACTTAGATGCCCTTCAATAGATGAATGGATAAAGAAACTGTGGTGTATATACACAATGGCATATTACTCAGCATTAAAAGAAAATTAAATTATGGCATTTGCCAGTAAATGGATGGAGTTGGAGAATATCATGCTAAGCGAAGTAAGCCAATCCCAAAAAACCAAAGGCCAAATGTTCTCACTGATAAATGGATGCTGGTCCATAACAGGGAGGGGGCAGACACAGGAAAAATGGAGGAACTTTGAATGCAAAGAGAATGGAAAGTAGAGAGGGTGCATGGTGGCAGGAAAGATGGTGGAATGAGATGGACATCATTACCCTAGGTACATGTATGACTGCACATGTGGCACGAAGCTACATCATGTGCAACCCTAGAATTGTAAAGTTGTGTTGCAATTGTGTATAATGAATCAAAATGCATTCTGCTGTCATATATACCTAATTAAAATAAATTAACTAATTTTAAAAAGAAAAAAATCTTTAAAAAATGAACAGAGTAAAGATTTAGGGAACAATTGGCAGGGAAAAATCTTAAATAAGGTGATCAGGGATAGTCATTTTTAGATTTGTTTTTATTTTTAATTGACATATAGCAAATGCACATACATACACACCCTCAATGTATGATAATCAAAGCAGGTTAATTGCCGTTTCTGTTGTTATGGACACTTATCATTTTTTTTGTGTTGGAAACATACTAAATCCTTTCTAATATTTTAAAATATTTTATTGATTATTGAAAGCTCTAGTTATTCTCCTGTGCTATAAAACATTAGAAGTTAGTCCTCTTATTCAACTGTACCCCTGTACCCATTAATCAGAGTTGGTCTTTCTGTGGAGCTGACAGTAGAGCAGCTACCTGAATGGAGACCTGGGAGTAAAAGAAATCCACAAAGAAAATAGCACGTGCAAAGACCCAGAGGCAAACAAAGGATCAGTGTGCTGATGAGCATCAGGGCAGGCTTAATGGATGCAGTATGAGATGGAGAGTGATAGAAGAAGATGCCTGAGAAGTGGGAAGAGGCCCAATCATGCAAAACCCTGAAGGCCTTGGAGAGGAGCTGGGACTTTGTTCTAGGGCTATAGGGGCCCCTGGAGCTGATTGACTATGAGAGAGACACKCTTTGATTATCATTTTCGAAGACACTTCCTGGGGCTGAGGATGTGGCTTAGTGGAAGACCTTGGTTAGCATGTATGAGGTCCTGGATTTGATCCCCAGAATGGTAACCCAAAATAAAAAGAAATCTTGAGCAAATCTATTTAACCCCCTGTTCTACTAATACTCTTTGTTTTTGTTATATGTTGGTGGATTATTATTGTACATATTTATGAGGTACAAGGGATGTTATGATTTATGAATATAATATATAATAATCAAGCTAATTCATGTATCTACCACCTCAAACACCTCAAATCATTTTTGGTGAGAATTTCGATATTTACTCTCAGCAATTTTGAAATATCCTGTGCACTGTAATTAGCCATATTCACAACATTGTGCAATCATTCTTTAAAGAAAAAAAAAAAAGCCACATTCCATTCTCCCCAACTCACACCTCTGGTAACTACCATTCTACTCTCTGCTTCTAAGTTCAATTGTTATAGATTCCACATTTAAGTGAGACCATGTGGTATTTGTTTTTTTGTGCCTAGTTTATTTCACATCATCTCATTTGATGCAGAAAAAGCCTTTGAAAAAATCAGTATCATTTCATGATAAAAACTCTCAATAAATTAGGTAAAGAAGAAAGGTAACTTGATATAATAAAGATCAAACATGACAGTCCACAGCTTACATTATATTCAGCAGTGAAAATTTGAAAGTCTTTCCTTTAAGATCCAAAACAGAGCAAGGATACCCCACTCCTGCCACTTCTATTTATTATAGCACTGGAAGTCCTTGCAGTTGGGTAAGAGAAAGAAATAAAAGCCATCCAAACAGGAAAGGAAAAAGTGCAATTACTACTGTTTACGGAGTACATAGACTTATACATAGGAAAAAACTCTAAAGATTACACACACACACACACACACACACACACACACACACACAACCTGTTGCAATGAAAAATTCAGTCAAGTTGCAGGATACAAAATAAACACACCCCACAGTCCTTCTATTGTTAGCTTCTATATGTTTCTGACTTTCTAAACTTTCTGAAAAAGAAATCAGGAGAATGATCCCATTTTTGCAATAGCCACCAAAAAAAATGAAATAAAAACTTGGAATTTTTGAATAAGAAGGTGAAAGACCTRTACACTGAAAACTATAAAACAGTAATGGAAGAAACTGAGGAAGTCACTAACCCTTTTCAAATCCACCATGCCCGAGCCCAGAGAACCACTTATACTTTTCAGAATGTCCTGTATGTTCTCACCACTGTGCCACTGGCCTCTCCCCAGAGGCCACTCTTGATCATTTCTGTCTTTCAAAATATTACCCCTCCTTCAAAACTTAGCTATGATCGACATCTCCCCAGTAAAACCTATTTAACCTCCACGCYGGTAACAATCAATTGTTCTTAAAATCCCACAGCAGTTTATTTGAGCCTCCATCACCATCCCTGCTTTGCCCTATTTTTGTGTTTTAATTATTTGTGTGTGACACACACCTCCCTTCATATCTTAGGCCAAGAACTGTGTACCTCTCATATTTGTTCCACTACAAATCATGACATGTACCTTGCACACACCAAGCCTTCAGGAAGTGCCTGCCAAGGTAATGGATGGACAGCCTTAATTAACATAAATTATTGTTTGGGGTTCCGATCCAGTCCTAAATCTGCAGTGCTATCATTTCTGTATCACTGATGATTATCTGCTGACTTAAATAACCTTTCCCTGAATACACTTGGAAAAGATGGAAAACTGTTATACAGGAGGAACAACTATGTAGGTTATTCCTTTCCTTAAACAAAGCAAAGTTCTGTTATGCGTCATGGAAAATTAAAGCACAGTAATAAAATGCGCCAACAAGACTTGTTGAGTAATGATTTAGTGGAAATGTTGCTTTGTCTCCTGTTCATGGGTCCTAACTTCCCTCTCAAGTACTTAAGCTGAAAGTTCTGTTTATTTTGTTTTTAGATTACATTGACCACTATTGGCTATGGAGACAAAACTCCCCTAACTTGGCTGGGAAGATTGCTTTCCGCGGGCTTTGCACTCCTTGGCATTTCTTTCTTTGCACTTCCTGCCGTGAGTATCTTTGCATCAATAAAGCAGTTTCAATTAGGTCTTAGAGGTTTAGTGGAGTCAGCTTTCACACATTGGTATGCTTGGGAACATATCTATGTCACTGACAAATTTAATTTTTCTAATATAATGTTGACTTTTCTAAATATATCTAGGTGGATAATTTATAAAATATGGTCTTCCCTCAGAAGCACTTAGACATTAATACCAGCTAGGTCTTTAGGATCAAATAATAATTCAGATGGCATCACCTTTTCAATCAGCATGCCCCCGAAACATTTTAAATATTTGTGAAGATTTAAAGATGTCTTCATTTTAAACTGATTGTTTTGATTTGGTTTTATAACATGTGCTACTAAAGAGACGGCTATGCACAAGTGGAGATTCATTTGAATGAAAAACATATGATCTCAAAGGGTTTTAAATGTGTCCAGTGATTTATTCTTTGTGTCACTGTCATTGAGCTGTTTCTGCATCTTATCAGAATGAAGAACACATTTTTCTTCCCACAAGTTTCTGATTATTCTCTACTTAATGAATGAAGTTTATTTTTCTGATCATTTTATCCTCTGGTTTCTTTGCTGGCAGTTGAAGGAAATATTATAGTTTCTGTTTCCAAGCTCTAACTTTTGTCCCCTCTGCCTGGGAGGTGGGGGAGGCAGTCAGCATAATGGAGTGTTGAGGTGGTAGTCACAGGTGTACCTGAAGAACATAGCCGTGTCCTCCAGACACACACAAATGCCATGGCACAGTCTCTGCCAAGGAGAAACTTGAGAGCCACCCTCCAAAGAAAGCCAAGGGAGTGGGTCAGAGGGATCTTTCCAGCTCCACCGTGTATTTTATGGGGATCCTCCCTTTCCTGTTAATAAATGCAAAGGGCATTCTTGGTCCTTCTGACAGCCAATGCCCAGCTCCATATTGACCAGCTGGTTCTTCCTCAGAACACTCAAACTCACAGAAAAGAGATTTAAAACACTGTGCACATGCTTGGGCATTAGACCTGAGTTTGAATTATTTGTCACATACTTTATGACTCTATTGGTTTGCTACAGCTGCTATAACAAGCTTCCACAGACTGGTTGTCTTAAATAATAGAAATGTATTGTCTCACAGTTCTTGGAGGATAGAAACCTAAAATCAAGGTATTGGAAGGATTAGTCCCTTCTGAAAGCCATGAGAGAAGCATCTGTTTCAGGACCCTGTCCTTGGCTTGAGGACGACATCTTCTTCCTGTGTCTTTATGTCTCCCATGTCTAAATTTCTTCTTCTTATAATCAGTCATGTTGGATTAGGGACCACTTGAATGACCTTATTTTAACTTGATTACCTCAGGAAGGTCCCTATCTTCAAATAAGGTGATATTCTGAGGTTTAGAAACTAAGACTCCAACATATCAACTTAGGGGGAACATAATTCAGTTCAAGGAGTGACTTTGAATATGTTTCTGCATGGATACAATGGAGGAAGAATTATTGAACCCAGAGAAATTTTGTGAAGAACAACCACTATGAGATAGTAGAATGAATCAGCTATAACTTTCCTATGTTCGTATTTGAATACACCACCAGTGTAACTCCACACCATGTACAATCACAAAAAATGGGAAGTTATACTCCATGTATGTATGTATGATGTCAAAATTCTACTGTCATGTGTAACTAAAAAGAACAAATAAAACATTTTTTTAAAAAAGGGGGAAAAAACAACCAATATGATAATGTAAGTCAAGGGCTTGTTATAAAGAAAACTTAAATGCTACTTCCCTTTACTTCATGAATATAAAAAGACATGTTTCCTACAAGATGATGACATCAAAGAGAATTTAAAAAAAAAAWTTTCACTTATCCAAAGCCAACTCCTCTGGCAGTCTGAACAATCCAGAACAGGGCAGAGACTCGCTGAACAATTAGATTCCTGCAGGAAAATAACTTAAGAATAGTGAAACACAGTTTGTGATTTTTGTTCCTAAAATAATGGCCCCAAATATCTGCTTCTTTTGTGTTTATAGTTCCCCTTAGCTAACCTAGATAGCAGATGTAATTAAATAGACAGGGGTGTATCTGCTGTCTTGTAGCAAAGCCACTTGAGACCTAACTCATAACCCAGTCTTCTTCATCATTCTATAAAATGACCCATATAGTTTCACGATTCTTTAAGGATTAAAAACAACAAATATAGAGGAAAAGTGATAGAACAAACGCTACAATGGGGAGAAATGGTGAAAGGTTAACAGCAAAGGAAGGAAAAAAATATCTGTAAGAAGTGAGCAGACCTAAGTGTTCAAAGTGTGTGAAGACCTGGGGCCAAGTAGTGTTAGGGTCAACCTGCCCCTGGAAGCTGGCTGCCTCCAGCAAAGTGAAATGCCTCGTGCCCACTGTGGCAGGGAGTTTAAGCTGTGTTGCTCTTAGGTTAAAGGTCAGAGACTAGCCATTCCTGGGAATGTTTCTGGTAAAATGATGACAATTTTATATGCAAATTAAAGTAACACAGGAAACCTGAAGAATTTGCTCACACAGAACAGAACATTTCTTAACAACGCCAAGAAAAGTTGTCTCTGTTATGGATCTTTTACTGCAACCTGGCAGGAGGTGCTGAGTTATCATTTTGTTATGTGCACCTGCCAGCCAACAGTGTTGTCTGATGGAAATTTAGGAGGACACATTGGCATTTTGCTGAGAAAGTTAGAGATGGATTGTGATCACTCCAGTTTCAGGCTTTTCCCACCCAGTAAACTTGAAGATCAGGGTGTCCCCATCTTACCTTCAATGCTGAAGGAGTGTCATCCTGTGTGACTTCTTCTGAGGCCCTCTCTATGCCTAGACTAAAAAGCTCACAGAGACAGCCCCTGCATCCTGGCATCACCCTGATGAGCAGGTCTCTCTCCTTTTTGGGGTACTCCCTCCCTCCCTCCCACTAATACTCCTGCTACAGGTATCTTTTTACTGATGAAGAAATTTTTGCAGATTGAATTGCTTGAGACATTCAGCTAATAGGTTCGGTGCAAGGACTAGTTCTGTTTGACTCAGGACATTAACCTTTCAAAAAATAAATATTAACCTCTATAATCATTAACAATATTAACAAATATAATTATTATATATAGTAAAATATTAACAACTGTTAAAAAGTCTTTTGGCAGAGGTTGTTTTCCAAGTGTGGGATACAAATTAGGCTCATTTAAGCTGGAAGATAAGGAGGGATAAATATTTAAAATGTTTAGCAAAACATTTTTTCTACTTAGTATTTATGTAGCACTACTCAGACTAGTACTAAAACTTAAAACCTAAAAAATTAAGCCTTGTTTTCCTAGAAAATGAATGAAAACAAAACTCAGTTTCTAAGAATCTGTATTATTGGTGTCAGTATTTGAAGGGATAGCACATATGTTGAAAGATTAAGCCATGTTGTGTGTGTGTGTGTGTGTGTGTGTATCATAACAGACTTTACTTAGCAGACTTCTATTTAGGTGCACTGAGCTGTATACTTAGAGAGAGGTGGAAGAAAGTTGGAATGGAGCCACAGTGAGACAGTGAGCAGACCTGGTTTAATAACTGCTGTAATGTACAATCTGACGCAAGAGATATGTAGCAAACAGTTGCCACCTACTAATATAGGTTTCTAAGCAAAGCCAACATGACTTTCAGCAAATTTTAGTCTGTTTGGTAGATACTTAAGTTGTGCCATATAAGGCCTGGCTTCATTTTCTAAACTCATAACTACACAAGTGCTCAAAACTGGCAGTTATGGCTGTTAATTCAACTTCTACAAAATCTTATATTCCATAAGAATTGGTTATATACAATATATATATATATATATATATATAATGTACATACATCTAATACATATTATAAATAAGTGCTATAAATTTTGAGGTTTTATATTCTCTTATATGTTTATACTGCATGGAGAGTAACATTAGAAGGAAAATAAATCAATTTTTCCTAAATAACTTTACATAACAAAAAATTAGGAATTACAAATGACTAGAGTTGATCTGGATTTGGAAATGGAAAGCCATTTGTATAACCTCCAAGTGGAGGTAAATATTGTTTAAATCTGCAAACCAGATCACAGAAACCAAGTTATTCTAAAGCTTAGTTTGTATAATCACAACCTGTATGAGATGGAAATCTTAGACAGCATGAGGCATGCACTGAAAAAAAGAGATGGAAAGCAGAACCTATGATGTCATTGCTCATTACATGGGACAGTCATTTATCTAATTAGTAATGGAGTAGGTCATTGCTCATTAGTAGCAAATAGTATTATTTTATAATTGTGTATTTTAAACATGATTGCATTACTGATTGTCTGGTTATTGTCACAGATGTACTCAGAATTGTGGAATCTCAAGATAAGAGGAAGGTTAAAAGCTATCTAGAGCCCAAAAATATCTTAGCCAAACTGTCACCCAGTCAAAACTTAACTAACACCTCCAAGAGATGAAATAAACCCACYACCTCTCCAGACAGCCTGTATCATCCTTGAACTACTTAAAAAAACATARAGAAAAGGAAAGCAACCATTCCTTACCTATGGCAAATAATGACCTAGTGTTTCTAAGATGTCCATCTCTAACCTAAGGGTTAGACTCCTTGAAGTTTAATAAAAAGCTAATAATTTATAGCTAGCAAATAAAATCCACAAACTTGAAAGCAGTGGAGTTCCAAGTCTCATACCAATAAAGTCGAGAGTATAGACAAAGCCCAGAGACTGAATGTAGCAGTCTCTGAAAGCCAATGCAAGGCTGAGACGAAAAGCATCCTGATTTCACAAATGTTAGACCAAAGCAAACTGAAAGGAGAGGAGAACATCAAAGAACCAGGATTTTGGCAGATCAAGATGATAAGCAGACAGAAAGAAAACTAGCCAAAAACTAGCATAAACATACTAATCTTACTAACCCCAAAATCTGAATAGGTGAGCTAAAACCAAAAGGTAARGAATGCTAATAGTGTGAGATGAAAACAGGAAGATAGGAGTATGCTTTGCAATGACCCATGCTCCTATCTGTATCGTATAGACAGGCAAAATGGAAAACCTCTTTCTTCAAAACTGAGTGCCTATTTGTCTCATCTGGATAATTTTCCACTCTCTTTTACTTTATTTGTAAAATTATAGCATCGTGAAGGATTATAACTAGGACAGACTTGAAACACGCCCTCCCCCATTTCATGGATCAAGAATATATAACTTCAGAGTTTTGTCAAACGGATAAAGTCCTCCCATATCCACAGCAGTAAGATTTTAATTCTCTCAAAGTCAAAATCCAGAATTCATGTCCTCAAAATGCTATCACTAGATAAGACCACTCACTCCAATTTAGACACAAAGAGATGTCACAGAGAAGGCCACACACAMAAAAAAAATTTAATAGCAAATTATATTTGTGTTTATAATGCCTATTACTATATCAGCAAAGACAAGAAAAAGGCAAACTCTAGTTGATTTGCTAAAGAACAGAAGTTGTTATATCTCTTGACAATGTTGCCTAACAACTAGCAATTAGCTGACGCTATTATAATAGAGATAAATAGTGTTTGTTTTAGTAAGTAACGTGTTTATTCTGGACAGGTTACACACTGTTTGTCTTCTCAGACTCATTTTAGCAGTTTTTTAAATACTTGTATTATTTAACAGTACTTTTGAAATTTGTTTTTAAAAGTGCTATTTTTATATTTTGTTCCAGGGCATTCTTGGCTCAGGTTTTGCATTAAAAGTACAGGAACAGCACCGCCAGAAACACTTCGAGAAAAGAAGGAACCCAGCTGCCAACCTCATTCAGGTAAATGGCAATTCAATAGGTAGACCACAACATCTGTCTCCATCAGTGCTGGATGGGTCATTTTCAAATCTCTGTGCTTCTTTGTTTTGTAGAGCTACTATTTTGTCTGCTTTTAAAAAATAAAGTCAGGACTTAATGAACAGTCTTGGGTTTGGGCAGGTATTTCCTCTCTCCCAACAGAAATATATATTTTTCAGCAAATGATCTAAGCATTATCCAGACTAATTAACCTTACCAGCAAGACCATGTAGAAATGAGCAGTTTGGTTTCTCCTGGAAGGACCTAATGTGTCTTATGAATGATTGGTGAAACATAACTGATCATTAAGTAATGAAACAGAACATGGCCTTGTTCCCTGCGTGACAGTTAGCTTCCTCCAGCCAGATGTATGCCCTGGCTGAAGAACAACAGATGTGTTTAGAGTGTCAAAGTATAGTGCCCGTGAAATTGCTTTTAATATTGTCTAGGGCAATCCCTTGAAAGAGTTATCTTATTTTAAGAGCTGGTGGGATTATGAGTTACATCCATGATGGAGGATATGAAATAATAAGCATATTACTTGAGGCGAGCTCATCATATATTGATGTTATTAAGCATTTCGTTTTCTTTACGATAACTCAGAATTTGCTTTAGCATTAAAAGAAATGAGCTATCCTTTTGCTCTCCATATCTTTTGGGTGTGGAACCATCCTAGAATCAGGTTAAGAATCACAAAATATATTTTTTGCTAGACTCATAATGTGAAGTTGGTACTTAATTATAGGTAAGATAATTCTACAATCTAAAGTTTTTTCCCCATTCTGCCAGGGACTTAAGCTCCAGAACTTGTAAACTGGACGTGTTTGGGATGGCAGTCCCAGGTACTTGGAGGCTTGTCTTCATGTAATAGGAAGCAACCACTTGAACCCTTAGCCTTGCAGTACCTCCAGTACAGGAGGAGCTAGGGAAAGGAGGGAGGAGAGAACATCGGTTATACCATGAAAGAGGTCTGTTCGTGTCTAATGGCTAAATAAGAACATTAATTGTTAAATCGGCCTATTCTGCAACTATTGACTCAAAAAAAAAAATGGATCTTTCCACGTGACTTCTAATACAAACCACTGAGAGTGTCTACGTTTTTAAATTTCCAGCTTTAAAAGAGCACAAAAGAGAAAGAAAACTTAATTTTCTTAAAGGAAAAGATCCCCTAAATACTAAAAATGTATGAGCTGATGCCAAACAAAGATCAGCAGAATGCAAGGAGGCCACACACAAAACACCCAGCCCCCAACTCCAAGCCTTTCATCCTTTAGCACTTAGCCACACTTCTAATAAAATCTTCTCTTTACATATTCTTCTCTTTAATATTCCTTCCCTCTAGAAAAAATGTTTCCAACCTGTGAGTGAAAGGTTATTTGATAGGTTTCTTGCTTCCATCTGGGCACCAAACCCTGTCCTTGTAAGGAGCCAATAACACATCTTACCTCTTACATCTTAAAACCTCTTAGAATATCAACTGTTCTGTTAGCAAGTGARCTGTTGTAGGAATTTCTCTGCATATATCAATTGTGATGCTATAGGGCTATTCTGCCCAATACAATAACCACATACTCCATGTAGCTGCTTAAATATAAATTAATTAAAATAAAAAATCCATTCCTTTGTAGTACTAGATACTTCTCAAGYGCTCAATAGCTTTAAGTGGCTATTGGATACCATATTACATAATACAGATGTGGAGAAAAAAAGCAGGAACTTTTCTGATCTGACTTGTCATTATCAACTACTAAACTTGCAAAAACAATTTCCAAATGAACTTAAAAAYAAATTGCTATTTTCCTGCATTAAATCACTGGAGCAAGGCATTTATATGTCCACAGCCTAACTAAGGCAAGGCCTGCAGCACAGGTAACCTATAAAAGGTGGGGAAGATGCTGATTGAACAGATTTGCTTGGAGGCTTAGAATTTTACTTTATGGAACTTGGTTATATAACATATATCACAATCAGCAATTAAACTTGTAAAAATTGAGGTAAAAATAGAGCAAAATCATGAATTTTTTTTACTTAAATTTCCAAAGTATATATTGTTCTTAAGCAGAAACTAATAGAAAATACAGTACTTGAAGTGTTGAAGAACACCTTTAAAATATAATCATAGTTTCATAAATCAAAATAGAATTTACTAATTTAAAAAGTAACTGCTCGCTCATTCAAATGCAACTTATTTATTTATTATACRTAGGAATAATATGACTATTAATTCATTGCTTCTCCTTGATGTAGTTTTTGGACAGAATTCAGGGCTTTAGGCCTTGATTATATCTTATAGAAATTTATTTTTAAGGATGCACTAGATTGAAAAGCAAGCCTCATTTGCTGATCATTCATTTTCTTACCCAATAAACCTGACTTGATTTACTGAACATACAAAGCATCAAGACCCAAAGCAATCTCATTTGTTTTAAGCCAGAGCCACTCTCATCCTATAAGGGCAAGTGAGATGCCCAGATTGCTTTGTCATTTGGTTGGTGATAGAACTAAATTAACCAGCATTTCAGGGTTTTAGGGAAAAGCTTAAAACCCCAGAAGTTTGCAGCAAATTTAGCTGTGTCAATATCTTTGCATGATTCATTTAAATTAACTTTTCATTTCAAGTGGAGCAGTCTGGGAAAAGAAATCAGCTCTCAGTAACGTTTTGAATACCTGCCCAAATGTCACAACTTTTATTAATAATGCCTAAGACTCATGAAGTGCTTTTTAGTTTGCAGAGTGCTTCTAATACACAATGTTACTTGATCCTCAAGATAAACCTAGGAAAATCTAGGACCAAAATTCTTGCTGTCTGAATCCAAATCCATTACTCTTTTGAAAAAACAACCTTGCACCTTCATATAGGCATTTTTGAGCTTTGGGGTTAACATTTAAAGACTCTCCCAACCCATGTCAGAGTTTTGCCTCTGTAGAAGATGGACCAATTCAGGGTACAGCGAAGACGYTTTCCTAGAAACAGAAGCAAGGGAATTGAATAAAAGTTTGGGAAATCAATGCTGATAGAATTCATTTCCTTAAAGGAGTCAACTAAAAAAATGTTGCTTTTGAGGATGCTAACTGTCCTAAAAGATATATATATATATATACTGGCTTCCTCTAATGGCATAACTTGATCTTTACCAAGTTATCCTAAAGTAAGGCTGCCAATCCATAAGCTCAAGCCACTTATACAGACTATACATCTTTTTTAGTGCTTTGACCATAAATAAGAACAGAATCAGGAAAAAATTCCATATGTTAAAAAAATGATAGCAGAGAAAAATAATAGGGAAGATAAGATTGTGAAAATCTCCAAGAGGGCACCTTAAATAGAGTACAGGAAAACTGAAAAGGGGAGATTTTACCAGATAAATATTACATTATTCTCCAGAACTGGGTGTCAGAAGTGGCCACCGTAAAAGAGTATGCAAAATGCCCAGTACAGTAAACCAAAAACTTCATACCAAGATTATCATAATGAGATATCAGAACACTTCCAACAAAGAAGATCCTAAATGATTTCTGAGCGGGACATATCCACAGGAACAAGAATCAGCATGGCATTGAATATCTATCTCATTAGTAACTCTAAAATTAGAAGACAGTGGAATAATACATCCAAAATTATGGAGGAAAATTACTTCCAACCTAGAATTCTATCCCCAGCCAAACCAGTCATGGAGAACAACAGTAGCACAAAAGCATTTTTAGACATAAAGATCTCAAAAACTTACCTACTATTTTTCCTTACCCAAGAAACTACCTGGATAGGACTGTCCTTCCAGAAGAAGATGAACCAAGAGAGGAAGAGACATGAGATTCAGGGAATAAGAGTCCCATCTCTACAGCGATAAGGAAGGGAAGCCCCCCATGGCAACAGGTACAGCAGGCTGGATAGCAGAGTGAGCAGGAGGCTGAGTAATCCAGGAGAAAGATCTTCAAGGACACACAAAAACAGAACTGACAGATTCCACCACACATTTGACGTGAGAAATTTTATAGTTCTGTAGGAAACAGCAGGAATGTCTTCATCATAGTTACATAAAATCAAATCAATAAACTAAAATAGGGCAGTGATAACTCAAGAAAAACAAAAAAATTATAGAGAAAAGAATGAGTATTTATAGTCTGTTACATTGCTAAACTAGGAAGAGTAGTTACATGCTTACAATAATGAAAACACTAATAACTAAAATTGTTGTAAGGATGAAAGGAGGGGAAGGGGGCATATAAGTGGGCCATGTTATTATCTTTCATGATAGGAAGTTAATTGATGACGCCTAAAACTGAAAAATCAAGAAATAATAGTATGAGCATAATCCTTCAGAATAGAGATTCTTGGGCTGGGGTTGTAGCTCAGTGGTAGAGCACTTGCCTAGCACATATGAGGCACTGGGTTCAATCCTCAGCACCACATAAAAATAAATAAATATAATAAAGGTATTGTGTTCATCTACAACTAAAAAAATTTTTTTAAAGAAAAGGGATTCTTAAAAATAGAAATGACAGCCAGGCTTGGTGGTACATACCTGTAATCCCAGCATCTTAGGAGACTGAAGCAGGAGGATCGTGAGTGCAAAGCCAGCCTCAGCAATTTAGTGAGGCCCTAAGTAATTTAGCAAGATCCTGTCTCTAAATAAAAAAATATATAAAAAAGGGCTGGGGGTGTGTCTCAGTGGTTAAGTGCCCCTGGGGGTTGAACCCCATTACCAAAAAGAAAAAAAATAACTTCCATACTAATATATCTTTGTATGGTCAGCTGAAACCTTCTGAACTGTTTCCAGAAATGGTCAAGCTTGCCATAGGTGTGCTACTTCAGATAGAGCAACTAAATACTTCCAAAGCTGAATTATATTACATAGTACTTTTGATCACAGAAAAAAAGTTCAAACTTTTTTAGCTACCTAGAGCACCACCTTCACTTGATAACTAGCAAATTTTGTTCTTACTTTTCTTCTTGTTAACTTATCCTTTGGAGTAGATACACCATGTAAATCAGCCATGGGAAAGTGCTGTTTTTCTCTTGCCAACCACTATGTGATTTGGGTTTTAAAATGTAGGAACATTAGGTACTGGATCCTGCAAATGTGGACTTGAATTTCAGCTACTAGAAGCAATCAGCTGAGATGGAGGGCAGGACATAGTTATTAAGAATTCTTAGAGCAATGGAGTTACACTTCTCTCTGCCTTTTTAACCCTTGACTAATATCATCCCTGGAATAGATGCCACTTGCCCCTTCTGTACTCCTAATTTACAAGGCATTTTTAGGAGAACAGTAATGAAGGGAAAAAGAGCTTAGCTGTTGAGATCAATTTTATTAAAAAGAGCAAGAAGCTAGGTTCTATTGTAAAAAGAAAGAAAGAAAAGAAAAGAAAAAAGTCTTCAATTTTCTCAGCATAGCCTCTTTTGGCCCCAATTCTCTATAACATTAACAGATAGTGCCTCGTCCCATTTTTTGTTGTATTGTTGCTTTGGATTTTTTTTTCCACTGGTTTCAGATAATGCACAGACCCTGCTGTGTACATGTAGTTCTACATGAGCTCTGCTTTTAGGGTATCAAGAGCTCACCTATATATCATACCTGCTACAGAAATTATTTAACTAAAGCAGCCAACCATATCCTGATAGCATCAGAGGATCTCTAGGCCCCACCACTACAGAAGCTGCAATAACAAAGTCAATGGATTTTCATTGATTATTCTAGTCACCCTAAAAATTGTATATGTGGTTGCAAAAACTATCATTTCAAGTTGATAGGCTAGTAATTGCTTTATTGTCTGTAAGATGTCAAGATGCTTACCACAAATTTCCATAGATTTATTGGTTAAATCAACATGAGCCATGAGAATGAAGCTTCAGGCAAGGAATCCTGATTGAAAATATAAAAACCTTTCTTGGAAACATAAAAAAGTCCCTCAGGTTCTACTATATATTTTTCTAATTTTTCATGTCATTTCCTGAGCATTTTACTGAAGTATAATGTGCATGCGGAAAAGACCACATTTCCTACAAGAACTCAGCACCCTGCATCACCAACACTCAGATAAGCAGAGCATGACCTCCTGTGTGCCCTTTCTCAGTCACTGTTGCACCAAGGTAGCCACTGGGCTCCCTTCTAAGGATAGATTAGTTTTCCCTGGTTTTTGTACATAATGTTAAAGTATTCATTTCTGTCTTGTTTCTTTCACTCAGCATTATTCATATGACGTTCACCCATATTGTTGAGCATAGTTAGAGTAAACTATTACCATGTAGTGTTCAATTGCATGACCATACCACGAATTTCCTGCTTTTGCTACTGTTGATAGATATCTAAGGCATTTTCAGCTTTAGTTTATGAAGAAATTAGTGCATATCTTTTGGTGAATATATATATAAACATTTCTGTTAGGTATTTACCTAGGAATGAATAACTGTATCATAGGAACTGTATATGTTCAACTTTAACAGATCTTCCAGACAGTTTTTCAAAGTAGTTGCGCCAATTTTTGACTTTTTATTCAGCTTACTTTTATTCAATGATATGCTGCTCAGGAAAGGGAATATAATTAGATCACTTTTTTCCTTCATTGTAGGTTTCAAAATCATGACTGATGGTTATATAGCAGGGATATGACCCATTTAAATGAATTTGCCACACAAAATAGAATACTCTGAGTAATGAATCATAATAAAAACTTTTCTCTGAGGAGATTAGTGCAAACATTTGATCATTAGAGATGCTTGCAGGGCCATTGCAAAGGGATAAATTTACCAAATTCTACACGGGAAAGTAAGCTCAGGCAGTCTCTCAAATGGACAGTTCAAATAGAAGGTCTTTCAACCACAGTGATCAAGCATTTAGTAAAATCTCCACTGGAAGACTGTCACCAAGAGCCAGGCAACAGGGGGTGTTGTCTCAACCCCACCAAGCTTGTATAAATCTCTTCATTTATCTGAGCACTTTTGTTCTCATCTACAAAATGGGGATTTTAATCCACACTTTGATTATAAGGATCATATGAAAATATCTCATTTTATGAATGTCAGGAATGATTGCATGAAGTAGACAGAGCTTATGTTTTTACATCACAGAGATATAAATATATTCTTAGTTCATGATATTAAACCCTTTGGTGTTTTCCACTTATATTCCTAGAGATACATCCCTCCCAATCTTGTTTTGACTCTGTTCTGGTTATCACTATTTTCATTTTTAGCAATAGAACTACTTTATGGTTCATCTTCAGGGACTTCACTAATGAAATCATTATCATACCCTGGAGGTCATTAGTTTACTAGTTAGTTCACTAGTTGCATAGTGGATTTTGGTAATTCTTTGCCTCTATCTTTTCAAATATTGCTCAAAGATCACTCCCTAGAATGCATATCTCTGCTCAGGTAGTTTATCTAACTAGTATCTTGGATATCAGAATGTATTGAATGAGTTACTCATTGCTGATTTTGTTTTTKGATAATATAGTATTTTTTCCTAACCAATTCAAAAATTGAGTTATGATATACTTTTTGACATTTTTGCTTTTTGACGCAAGTTGTTTTGAAAATTATTTTGATGTAGCAGAATCTGTGCAGCAATCAGCTGAAAATACCAAAGTAGACTTCTTCTTCCTTTGGGCATTTATTAGGGATAAATATGACAAAGAAAAGACTTTTTTTAGTTTGTTGATGGACCTTTATTATATATATATATATATCTGACATTCGAACCCAGTGCCTCACACATTCTAGGTAAGCTCTGTACCACGGAGCTAAAACCCCAGTCCCAAATAAATAATTCTTAATGTGCATAACTTAATATTCTGCCTGTTATGTCATTCTATTTCCTACTCTTTTTTCTTTTCTTTTTCATGTCCCCACGTGTGCCACATGCAGTGTGTTTGGCGTAGTTATGCAGCTGATGAGAAATCTGTTTCCATTGCAACCTGGAAGCCACACTTGAAGGCCTTGCACACCTGCAGCCCCACCAAGTAGGTATCTATGTGACAGCTGGTGCTCTAGTTGAGTCTTTTCAAGTTTGTTAAACAAACCTTATACACAGAGAATGTCAATTTTTGGCTTGTTATTCTCTATTCCTCTTAAAGAGATTTATACCTGTTTAGCAACTTAAACACAAAACTGTATGGAATCAGTATCATTCCTCACATGCACAGGCCAGGATTAAAGATTAAAGGAATGTAAACTTTTATATAGACTTCTTTCTGCTATTTCATGCTTTTTCATCTCATAAAGTCCACCAGAACCCTAAAGGAGAGCATCACAGTCCCTGAAAGTAAATTACTTATCTTCTACTCATCACCTGTCTTCAGGAGGGGAGTGCCTTGAGAGCAATATATCGCCTCATATTTAAGTCTGTCAAAGTCATTGCTCATCTGGATCCACTTACAGGGTGGTTCGTGAGCTTTCAGTTACAGATCAAACTAATATCAGCAGGAAAAAAAAAAAACAAAGGAACGAGGAGAATTGAAGTCCAATAGAATTAGAAATTTTAAGTGAGGCAATGGGACCAATCAGATTAAAATTTGGAACTAACATTCAAGATTTTAAAGTCATACTATTACTGCCATTCCTATTTCATTGGCCAGAGCCAATCATCCAGTCATGCCAAAACTCAAAGGTTTGGGAAAGTATAACCCTACCATGTACCTAGAAGAAGGAAAGAACCTGAGACATTTGAACAGAATTAAGGATTACCACAAGGATCTTTAATTTTAAAAAGTCCTCAGTCCTAGAATCCTAAACTTCAGTTCAGCTCACAGAGCACATATTAAATCATAATTGCCATCTAATTAAAGAAGCCCTCACTGAAGCACCAAAGCAAGTAAGTCCTGACAAAGACTCCCTGTGAGTCCCTCAGCTTGATCCGAGGTGTCAGTCCTTCAGATTGTTCCAAAGGCCGTAGATTGTTCATCTGGATTAGTGTTTTATGGCACTAGCCATTTACCTTCATAGCCCAACAAAACCTTAGTCTCAATGGCTTCATGGGATTCAAGGGGCTCACCACTGTGACTCAGAAAGGCCATGTTCTTATTGATTGGGAAGGGAGAGAGGCAGCAGAAATCTTCATGACTTGCCTCTGGGCATGGCTGCTGTGTGGAGGCAGCACCATGCTTAGTGTTAGGGTGCATCAACCCAATCATTAACTAACAGGATTTGTTAAGTGACTTCCCTGTCTTGCTCTGGGCCTCAATTTTCCTACCCACAAAGAAAAGGACAAGAGCTGTCAAGCTGGTTCCTAAGTGCTAATGGAACACATATCCTAGAGGTCAGTAGCTAAAACCATCAGGACAGAGATAGTCATAGAAACACCCCCCCACCCACCCACCCTTCCTTCCCACACTGCCTTAGGATTTTAGAAAGGATGGAACCTTATCAAGGACAGAAGCCTGGATGCTGTTGAGTGAATGTGCAGATGAGACTCCTTTCTTCATTTAGATCTTGAAATTTAGTTGAAGTCCTTTTATTGAATAGTAGATCCTTTCAAGCTGTTGGTATAGAAATTCAAAAAAAAAAAAGGAACACAACTCTTGTGTCATCTATTCCTTGGAATATGAGTAAAAATGGGAATTATATAGACATTATATTTCTTATCTTCTTAAAGATTCTAGATAAAGATAAAAGAATAAGGTTAGTAGGAAAACTGATAAAGGGTTCTCAAATAACAGAAGAGAGTGGTCTGTTGCCATATGTGACTATCCCACTTACTGCAGTTTGGGATTAAAAGTCATTCGGAAGCCTAGAAAACCCAGGCTGCWTCAGTTATTATTTTACTCCTCATTTTTTTCTTTTCCTCTGATATTTTCCGTTTAAAATGGGAGTGGAGGTAGAGAAGGATCGACATCTGTGCCTGCTTCCCCTCTGTCCTGTTGTACCCCTCAGCCCATGTCCTCATTCACCTTTCCCTGCAACCTCATTGGCCTCTGAATCTCAACCCCATTTACTGAAGAGCATTTATATGTCCTGAATTCCAGCAGTCTCTAGTGCAGTTTATAGAAACCTGGGTATCTGAACATCTCTCTTTCCAGTGATACTTCCTTGTTCTCATGGTTCTCGCTATTGATGTTATTGTTGTTCTTTCAATTGGTGTTGTGATGGAATTTAAGGGCTACTCCCCAAGAATAATATTCATTGCACAAAAAAAGTCAAAAGCTTGCCCACAATTTTAATGTATTCAGAACCTTTGCTTTAGAAAGAAAACCTAGTCAGGCTTCTAGGTTATTGAGAAGAATAATTTACAATGACTTAGAGGGATATTTTTACATTTATAATTAGCTGGCTTGTTGAATGCAGAGTAATGTTGTAAGAAAAACAGCAAAGCTTTTGTTATTTCTATAGTGCCCTTCCTTTATCAGCAGCTAAGAACTTCTGGAGAGAAACATAGTATTTCTATGTATCCATTCAACAAGCATTCCCTGAATACCTATTGGGTTCCAGGCACTGTTCTAGGCACTGGGGAGTCGGAGAGAAAAACAAACATGATTGAACCTCAGGGCTTAGGAAGTCTATATGCAATGGATACTGGAAATAAATTTTAAAAGTAAAATACAAAACATGTTAGATAASAAAAAGTGCTAAGGAAGAAAGAAAAATAAGGAATTTAGGGAGTATCAGGGGCTGCAATTTTAAATGAGAAGTCAGGGGAAAGAACACATTACTAACATCATCATCACCAGCAGCAGCAGCAATGGCAGTTATCACTGAAAATCAGCAGCCCCATGCTCTGCTTCCCCACAGTTTTAGAAATACAGTGGGACGTTGTGACTCCACAAGCTCCTCCCAAGGAGTAGGATGAAAGAGTCTAAGAAACAGAGGTGTCAGGGAGAGAGGCAGGCAGCGGGGACATGCCGCACCCACTCAATTCTGCCAGGGGTRCAAACCAGCAGTTTCCTACTCTCTCTTTTTCTGGCCTGGATGTCTCTTATGTACACCTTAGAGATCTGAGATGCTACTTCAAAGTGTTGTTCAGACAGAAGGATTTATAGAAGGAAAGGTTTGCCTTGATTTTTCTTCTCAGAGTGAGCAAAAGCTATGCAAAGGGTGAAACGTGGGTAAATGTGCTATTTTGGAGGATGAGTCAGACATATTCTATGAAGCTGTAAGGAATTATCAAACTCTAGGGATGCCACAAGTTTCCTTAAGAAGTCAGAAGTTAGATTCTAACATAAGGYCTTCCCATTCAGTCATGACAAATGCGAAGACCCCCAGGGAAGAGAGGTGCCTACCAGAGGCCCAAGGCTCCATTTGCTAGGAATGGTGACTCTGCACCGTGCTGCCTAGACCTGAATTTGCTCCCATGAATTATTAAAAATGCTACTCAACAGTAGACTAAAAGAGTTCTAATGTTTTGTTTTGTTTTGTTGTTTTGTTTTGTGGAACTGGGAATAGAACTCAAGGGCACTCAATCACTGAGCCACATCCCCAGCCCTTTTTGTATTTTATTTTAGAAGACAGGGTCTCACTGGTTGCTTAGTGCCTCACTTTTGCTGAGGCTGGCTTTGATCTCACGATCCTCCTGCCTCAGCCTCCTGAGCTGCTGGGATTACAGGTGTGTGCCACCATGCCTGACACTCTAATACGTTTTTTATGTATCTTATTTATTCCAAGCAAATTCATATTTTATACTAGAGAAAAAAAAAAATCTACCTCAACAAGTGGCTGAAGTAAAAGGCCACAGTTACTGATTAATGAATCCAAATTTAGAACTCAAACRTCTCCCTAAGGCACAGAGACTGGAGCTCCTTTGTAACTTGCAACCTTCTAATGCCAGTCAGATCAGAACCACTTTTTCTTACCCATGAATAACCTTGGTTAATGAAGAGCTTTGGGCTATATGTGGGCAGTATTGGATTTGCTAAGTAAATGTGCTATCTCAGATCTGTACCACAAAGAACATATGTTGGAAAGTTGAGTATATTTATTATAAGCGAATGCCTTTGTGGCTTGTACTTGAAAAGGGCTACTTAAAGTACTTGATTCTCCAGTCTCCAATTTGGCCATTATCAAGTGCTGTAAATGTATTCACCGGTTTATCATCATTTCTCTTCTGTCTGCACGCACCTGAAGGAAAGAACAAGGGGAAGCATCAAGCAGGTTTGTGATTTCTCTTTTGCTACATGTTTGTTTATAAATCTGATGCCTAACAGATGTTTTAAATGTGTCTCATGAGTAAAATCGATCAACAAATTCAAGATGATTAAAAGTGACCTTTCACAAGATTGCCTGCAAAGTTTGCTGGGTTTTATTGATTGTTCTCCCTTTGGGAGCTGAAGCATCTTTCCCTAACTCACTCACTGCCTTTAACAATCTGCAGGACATAGAACATTGGGTGTGGAGAGGATTATGGTCTTTGATTGCTCCTTGCTACCATCTTCCCAGTCTTATCCAAGTATTCAAATACAGTAATCTAGATAGTTAAGAAAAGAAAAAATTCTGATTGTTATGGGCTCAGAAAACAGTCTAGGATACACTTTTCTTCATTAGAGTCCTTCTTGGGATGTGAAAATTTTTTATTTTGTTATTTTTTTGGCTAGAGGTGAGAACCATTTCTCTAGGATATCCCCAGAGCATTCAGCAGTGAGGTTTACTCGGGTTTTATAATTCAAAAGAAGAACCCTCTCCATCCTTSAGGAAGAAGACAGCCCTCCAAAACTTCCCCAAATAATTCATGTTCATTTTTGTGTGTGTGCTCTGGAAGGAAGTGCCTGAATGGAATTAGACCTAGAGGGAGTAGAAGATAAAAGAGAACATTTTTATTTGTTTTAATGAATACCAGGAAGGGTCTAGATTCAGGAGCAAAGCCCTGAAGGACAGAGCCAGTGGACCCCCAAACTGATGGTGTACGGAGTGGCAGAGTCTAAACAAGTGCCAAGGAGGGAGGAAGGGGTACAGTTTTCTTCCTATCATTGCCACTTGTTTCAAGAAACAGGAAGCAAAAGCATCTCCCCCACACACACCTGGAGTTGGCTTCTAGGTGGGAGTCACTGTAAATCCAAGGATTGTTTCTTTAGCCTTGTATTGTTATAATAATGACATTAATTATAAAATAGTTGTGCAATATTTAAATTAGTTTAGAAAGTTCACTTGGGATAATAAGGCTATAGGCTTTCATTTCAACATTAGCACTTAAAAAGATTTTTAAACCAAGACATGAATGCATGCATCTATGACAGGAGACAGATAGGGTAGGACACACAACATCGAGCATTCCTTTGGGGTACATGGGCCTGTACAGGGATGGCTTTAAGGATCCTCTCTTGATAGCCACAGAGTTAGAGAAAGGGACATTGAGTGTTCCCAAGTGATACTTCCAGAAAATGTTAACTGCCTAAAGAGTTGTTCTCTTCCACCTTAGAAATATTTCTAACCAGGGAGAGTTCTAGTCATCAGTCTCAAAACTCTCTTTATACAAACACTGGAAGGGACCAACAGAAAAATTCTAATCATTTGCCCTTTTTCCAGTTTCTGTGCAGACCTTTCCATTCTTCTATTGTGACAAATTTACTTGGAAAAAAWATATACAAAACAAATCATGGCCACTATAAGCCATTTTGGCTTCTCTGGTAATATTTTTTAAACTTACCTTGTCTTTGGAGTTATCTACTTACAAATTATCTCCAAGGGTGATTTGTCTCCAGATTCTAAGGGCAGCGACCACCTTTGGCATGAATTACAGCACTATTTGAGAGTAAGATCACCTATCTTKCTTTCATCCTCCAAAACAGAGTTGTTGACAACCAAAGGGGAAGTTTATAAATCCTGTAGAGGTGAGTGAATGAGTGTGACCTCCATGGGCAGGGCTTGGTGGGGGTCACTTCTAGCCCACAAGCTTTCCAAGACATCAAAGAAAAGATAAAAGTGTCACTATTGAGCTTCTGCTCACTACTCCAAACATGAGTCTCCTCATCAGCAATGCAAAAAGACTACCAATCAAATTTTATAAATTTCACATGTATCTAATTAAATGTATTCTTCTTGTTTGGGACTGAGGTTGTCAAAGATAACTCACCCATGAGTTTGAATATGTACTGCACCACAGAACTGAGTTTATGACTTAGAAAATTTCTTACTTCCCTGCAGTCATTGGACACCTGGCAAAACTACCTCAAAACAAATCTCATACCACTACTTAGCCTGGATACCTTACTCCATGCTTCATTCTTCATACATTTAGGTCTCCTACCTCCAACTATCTGTTGCACCATCTGTGTAAAGTTATACAGAKAATGTGCTCAATTAATAATTCTTGGATAGAGTAATATAATGTCACTGACCTCATATGAGGAGAGAAAACACAAACAGAAATGGAAAATGAGAAATATTTTWAAAAAGAGAGAAGATGATCAATTAAAAACATTGAAATAATCTGAATGAAATAAGCTAAAGGCTCTCATTTTTTWAATTGACACATAAAATTTGTACATATTGAAACTCCCATTTTAATATTGCCTTAGCTTTCACCTTGTGCTCCACAGGCAATGGAATTTATAATGCTGCATAATGAATGCAGAAAAACTATTGTAATGACATTAGCCATAACACCATCTTAGAAAATAACACATTTGTCCTTATCCAAGCAAAATAAGCATAAAGGAAAATGCATTTATAATGAGAGTTCTCCCTTAGAGAAGAGCAGCTCTGGATCCAGAATACTGATAATTAGTGCTTGACCCATTTCAAATGAACCAATTAGCACCACCCAATTGCAAAGTTCTGTTACTGTGCTTGGGGGCCCTTGGGTTATTGATAGTGATTCAGGTAAAGAGAATAGACAAGTTTCAGCCCAAGTAGGAACTTTCAAATATCTCAGATCATGGAATCTGCCCAGCCTTTCCTTTTCCTGGAATCTCCCCAGCACCTGACACTCACAGCCAGCACTGTAGACAGGGCCATCCACAGAGAAGCTCTTCTCTCTGCAGAATGGATGGAGGTCAAACACATTCACATAACCCTTACTTAATTATATTCCCTGCTTTGGAGTGTTCCTGATTTAAAAAAAAATGTCTTTCTACACGGAAGTTAGGAAGTTAAACAAAATTCATCTGTGATTATCTCAGGCTAAGAAACAGTGTCATATTGTTTATGACAGATCCAAAATTTTCAAAAAAATACAAACCATCGTCCCAAGAAAAGCTTTTTAAATATAGCTCAACTGAGCAATAGTTAAAATAATGTTTTTTAGCTCTCTTCGGTACAGGGTTGGATACAAATTACTGTTAGTCTCAGCTGACCCTGCTGTCTTCTTCCTCCATTTCAACCATGAAAACAATTTCTTGAGCATCATTTTAGTACTTATTTTTCTTCCCATGAAAATAGTTTTAATCTCATAATGAGATGGCAAATGTGTTTATTGATTTTATTCAAATTAATCATCTCATTAATAATCTTTCCAACCCATTTTTTTAAGTGGAACAGTTTTTCTCTATATGGTATAAATTGACATTTTCAGAGAATGGAATTTACCTGTGAGCCTCTCTGGCCACTTTAGTCTAGGATTCTCACCTTSAGGTCCTATATTTTTTCCTCCTTGACCAGGCCATCAGATAATGGTCAGTGAGTTGCATCACATGGTAACAGAAGGCTTTTACCTCTTCTTACCTGGGTTTTTAATGCTACAAGAACAAATCATGCCATCTGAGATGTGAGGGATTACCTGCCATCCTCTGCCTCCATGTACCCTGTCTGCTTAGTCACTAATGGTTGGGCGGGTGCCAGCTTCATAGTTACACTGTCTTCCTTAGCAGCTGTTTTCAAAGCAACACTAGAACCCCCTCAGACTTCTCAGACAGCACACTATATAAACTGCTTTCACAGGTACTTGTGAGACTTATAAAGATGTATGTCTTAAAAGTTAAGGCACAAATAACATTCTTTCATTACATGAAAATCTTGTGCTATAGTCCACTGAGTGCTTTGTCCAAACAGCTCCAGCATGGTTGTTTTATTGGGTTCTGAGACTGTGTGTGGCTCCTGGGATAGAACTCTAGAACACTTTTGGAAGAAATTCTTACACATCTCCTGCATTTATTTTCTGCATTTATTTTCCATTATTTACATTTTCTTTCTTACGTGTGCAATGAATGATCTGCATGTTTTGTTAAACTAAGCTCTATAAAACTGGACTTTATTTTTTCCAGCATTGTCAGCTTGAGTCATTATTGGGAAAATGTTCAATTGTTTAAAACAAAAATCTTCTCAACACCATCTCTCCTTCTGTTCACATTTATTGTACATTATAATGTACAATAGTGTATATTATAATGTACACTTCACCGAAAGGAATTAATTCCCTTTTTAAAAACATCATAGGATTTAAAATAAGAAATTTTTTTTTCAAACTAGCAACCTAGACTCTTTTCTTGTTTTTGTTCATGTAGTTATTTGACAGTTGGTTACTTATATTATCTTTAACTGCAGGCATTTTGCAGAAATCAAAATCTGGTTTTTTTTACATTTCAAAGCAATTAATGTTATCTACCTCATTGATTTCTATAAATATTTATTCTTAAAATTTCTGAAGTATTTTATTCCTCAATCATTTATACTATGTTGTTTGATATTTACTAGGGGGGTTGCTATATTCTAAATTATCTGTGTTCTTCTTTTCTAATGAAACAGATGCTAACACATAGACTACCATCATTTATATTGCCTATTTCAAACCTAATTATTTCAACCTAACAATTAAAAGCATTGAATATATTTCAAGCAGCACAATTAAAGTACATAGTATTTACTGCTTAAGTAGTTTATGTATTTATATATAAAACGCAATAAAGCCAAGTGGCTTTGTTTTTAGAAAAAGAAAGAAAAAAAATCCCTAAGCACTTCCCTGGTGGTAAAATGCTTAGTAATGTGCTGCTCTATTTCCCTCACTCCTAGTAAGTTCTGTAGTAATAAGCAGAAGCTCTTCAGAATGTACACTTCACGGAAGCAGAGGTACCCAGCATCCCAGCTATTGACATGAGATTTGAGAATGCCAACTAACCTCAGGTGCATGACCAGGCTACACCGCCACCCCACCTGAGCCCTGTTCACAGACTCACTACTCCTAGGGACTTCTTGAATGAGATTTTTCAGCCCGCTTGTAATTTTCCTTGTTGCCTGTTGCCTGCTTTGATACTCTCCACCACTGGGACAAATAAGCAGGGTCCYGCATAGTACTGGCAGTCAGCCCCTTGGCGCCTCCTTGTGGTTGGACTACTGCTGAGCTGCTGCACGCCTTGAATTGTTATGGCYTAGTTGCCATCTTGTGCCTGAGGCGAGAAATTGTAGAATGCTTATCCTATGAAGGGCTAAAACCCTAATTAAGTATAACAATAACTACAGCATTCTGAGTCCCAGAGGATTACTGTGGGGTATGATGCCACACAGTTCCCTGGCAGGGAGCATCCGGTAGTTCACTGCATGCTGGGGCTATTTGAATAACTTGTACATCTGGTTCTAGAGGGAAAAATTCCCTTCCAGAGCAGTTGTGCAGGCTCCCCTGAGCATGGTCTTCAGCTGGGAATGTGGGATTATATACTAAGATGGTCCAATCAATGACCATGGTGACCTTTTGGTTACTTTCTCCAAAGAGACCTACTTGTTGGTCTCCTGGGGATCATCCTTGGCATTCTTCCTAAAAATACTGTTACATAAATCTTCCTCAAAAATGATGCTTCTAAATGTCACAAGAAAACGGAAAATAATGGAAACTTTAATGTACCCATTAAGAGTCTATATTTTTAATCAATGTGTGTTTTCAATAACAGMTACTTAATCAGTTTGTCATCAAATCAAAATGCTGTGTTGATTTCCAAAGGGGAAATGAAGCAGAACAACTAATAAAAGTGGGCTTTTTGTGAGAGAACACAAGAACAGATCTTTGTCTTGTGGGGGAAAATGAATGCCTAGTTAAAAAGTTCTGGGTTARGGTCTTATTTTTACCTTTCAGACAATTCTGACAAAAGAGAAAGTAAAACATTACATTTTCTCCAATTTATTGAGCAATATATTGAGTTTATTTTAAAACGGTTCTTGAAATTTTCTAAAATATTAGATTTAAGCAAATATTCATGTAGTTTAGAAGTAAAAAAGGGAAATGGCAACCAGAATTTATTTATACCAACTTTAAATGATTTGAATGGAACTTTACATTAAGATTCAGAGAACATTGTTCCCACTTTCCATGAATCCATAGACAATCCCCAAGTGTTTCTTAGGGACAGTTTTTTAATATATTTTATCGGAGCAATTTTTAAATATTTTGTTATTGTAAATACACCATGGTGGATTGGATGTTGGTACTTTCATTTTAGGATTTTCCTTTAACATTTTTAGAAATTGAAATGCTTTAAAACTAACAAAATGAGGCTCACATTAAATAGTTGCATGACTTTTACTAGTATCTTGTTCATTTAGTTGGCATAGGAAAGAGATATCTTGAAAGTTTGAGAAAATAATTTAATATTTACTGAACCCAACCTTATATAGGAATTAGCCTCTGTTGGTTCCAGAAAAGATAAGATCAACTATGGTGAGGACTCCTGTATTGATAGCTACATCTGCTTTTCCTTCACTAATCTAAATAAAGTTGCAGATAGGAGCATATGGTCCCTGAACCAGATCATCATAAATTTAAATTATGGAGCAGGTGTGTTGAAATCAAGAAGAAATCTGAAATTTTACTATTAAAAAAAATTAAGAAAAGTAGGCCTTTGGGGCACTATCCCTTTGATGGATTTGTTTAAATAATTGAAGGTTTTGGGATGACACAGAGAAACTAGTCTGAGAATAAAAAGATGCAGTTTTATGATGTTATTGTTGCTCTTGTTTAATGTAATCTACCATTTAATCACACATTTGTCAAGTACAGATAAACCTTCCAACTGATGGTACTGTCGTAAAGAACTCTTGAACTCACCTGACCTCATCACAAAACTGCCCAGCCTGTTCTCTGCATGTGCCTTCAGCTAGTCATGCTAGACTTTGCTGTGTCTGCATTTCAGAGGGAGCTGTCAGTTGCATGGTCAACTCGTTTATTGTTACCAGAACTCTCTGACCACCCCAGTTCATGAAATGATTTGTTTCCATGTAAACACACATAAAATGCGGTGCATTTTTAGAATATCATTTGTTAAGCAACTAGGCATGGAAAAATAAATGTTACTGTTTCTTGTTAGCTATAAAACACATATCCACTAAACACATTTGCTGTTGGCATGCTGCAGTTGGGGACAGTGGACACTGCGGTAAGTGGAAAAGACAAGGCCTCCACTTCGTCTCAGATAATCCTTATCCATGAGAACACTGCCTTCATCTCCCACAAGGGCTGCAGCATGACTTAGAAGAGCTGCTCTGGGTGACTCCCCCATAGACCCATTGCCCCATTATTTCTTCAGTCCCTGCTGAATCCTGGGCCTCTCCCATTGATAACAGTGTTTTGCCTGCTAATAACTAGCACAGTTACTTAAAGAAGCAAAAAAAAACAAACAAAATGGAAGCATACTTCCTCCAGTTCATTTGATTCCCACAAAAATCCTTTAGTTATGTTGCTGTTTTCATCTCTATGTCAGAGGTGAGATTCCAAAACTCATGTCTCTTTGGTTCAACCTTACCTTTACCGGCACATCACACCACATCTCTTGATTAGGAATGTGTGAAGATGCATTTGGGATTTTGTTGTTGATGCTTCCTTGAACCATCCACAACAATTTAATCCTGGCCAGGACCAGAGAACTGAATGTTTGAACAAATATAATTTACCAGTAGCTGCCACAGCAAATCAATAGCCTGTTTAATAGCAGGAAATTGTGTTAGTGAACATGACATCTCATTCTGTTAATCAGTCATCTCATTCATTATATGTTGAGGCTGTCCTATCTTTGTGTTTTTTGTCTCACACGAATGAATGTAAGCATAAAAGAAATGTAATGTTAAGTGTTGTATGTTTAGTATTGTGAATGCAGTGCTACCAACTGCTATGAGATTGCATGAATGTATGGATATCATAATCTTGCCTGGAATAAAAAATGCATGCTGAATGTAGGTATATATGTAACTGTCATCCCTGTTTTCCTTTAGAAATTACAAAGAGATATGCTCTCAAACAAAAATAAATGAAACTCTTTTTAATTTAAAAGTTGAGGCTAACGCTAAAATCACCTGACAGTTTTTAAAGTGAATTCCAAACCAGTTCTTGTTTATCTCCAGTGTAAGTGTGTACAAAATGTACAAATGTACCTGATCGCAGTAATTTCCATGACGAATCCAAGAAGGGTGTGTATGCCTGTGGAATGAGACTGATCTCACGTAAATGCAAACATATTAAATGAAGCTCAAATTTTCAATAAGGATAAAATACATTTCTGTGTTCCTACTTGCTGAAAACACTTTATCTATAGAAATACATGACCATATACAATTTCATCCAATTATGTACCCAAGTGAGATTAAAGAAATTGCTTGAAATGGAATAATCATGCCTCTGTTCTCCACAGTCAGAAGCTAAGTTTTAAGGAGCGAGTGCGCATGGCTAGCCCGAGGGGCCAGAGTATTAAGAGCAGACAAGCTTCAGTAGGTGACAGGAGGTCCCCAAGCACCGACATCACAGCCGAGGGCAGCCCCACCAAAGTGCAGAAGAGCTGGAGCTTCAATGACCGCACCCGCTTCCGGCCCTCGCTACGCCTCAAAAGTTCTCAGCCAAAACCAGTGATAGATGGTAAGCTCTGCTTTTCCATGACCATTTTTAATTTTGATAGGCTATAGTGAGTGAGATTATGAAGTAATTAATTCTCCATGGTACCACTTGAAGATAGAAGGAAACACTCCAGAGAAAGAAATTGCTTGTTTGTTTTGTTGGAAATTTATTCATTGCCTTGGGCAAGCGTACAGAACATAAGTTAACTTTTGGAAACGACTTTGGCAGCTAAATTCGCATTTCAAAGAAGCCACTGGACAGATCTGTAGTGCAGTGGTAGAGCTTAGCATAGGCAGAGGCCCCAGGTTCCACCCCCAATACCACCAACAACAAAAACCAAAAAAGATTGTATTAATTTTTCACTCATATCTACAATCTATTTATTGTGAGATCAGCGTGGCTATCTTTCTGACATATATTAAGTCTGACCAGCAAAGACTTACGGACAACCTGGTGCTCTGAATATCCTGAGACATAAGCAGAGTGTGACAACGACTTTCTAGTCAATGAAGAGGGTGCTCTTCCCCTTCCTCACCCTCACATTCTCTGTCTACCACAGGTCAGACCACTGCCTCTCTTCCTCAGAAAAATTCCTRCTGAAAAGTTCTTAAATCTCCCAATGATAAGTAAAAGTCAAGTTCTTCTCTCAAGCGTAATTAACCTACTTTATTTATCATATTACGTGGCAGACGTTTACTTGCTAACACACTTTATTGAGTGCCACATCATTTTCATGTTTATGAAACAAARCATTTATTTTTCATTTAAAGATTAGCTTGTTTTCCCTTTTAAGTGTGCCCTCTGGGATCTCTTATACTGGGCAAAGAACCAAAATCAAATAGCATCTGCCATTAATGCATAAAAAATGCAAAGGCTATCAGTCCTTCTGTTCTCGTTCCCTAGAATAACCTGTATTTTCCCAGGCCCTGAAGGCTCAAGGGATAAAATTAACAACCAAGGGTCATAATCAACAGTGACCTCAGGCTCCCTGCAGTGAAATCCCTGGAACCTCAGCCCAGGGCTCCATCCAGTTTACCCAGAGATCTTTGGGGATATGCTTCCACCCTCAAGTGAGTGATGCAAGTCCCCTCTTCACACTTTTCCATTCTCCACAACCCCACAAGGGTTATAYTCTCCAGACTCCTAGCTGCTGACCTGATGTGGTCCCTCCTGGCAGAGCTTGTGGCTCCCACCTCAACTTCTGTACATGCTGATCCTGCCACGCTGCCCTCCACCTGTTGCTTTGCTAAGGTGGGAAATGCCTCCTCCTTCAACACTGGACACTCCTCCATCAAGCCACTTGGAATTCCCTGAGTCACTGGTGGCAGAGATTTTCAGTGTCCTCTAGTTTCTACACTTTCCTTCCTTGGAATTTGGCTAAAAGCCCTTTAGCAGCTGAGTATGGAGTTACTGGTGACAAGGCTTTATGCTGCACTCGAAATAGATTCACTGACTATAAATGTGTTCATCCTTTCTGAAGGTAATTCAGCAAAATATATTAAAGACTTTACAAATGTCTGAGCCTAGACCCATCCCGCTCCCCAACTCTACTTCTAGAATATAATTGATAGAATGTAATAATATCAGATATGAGAAATGAATTATTCCATTTTTGCTTATATATAGGTGTGCATTGTACATATAGATTTGTGTGTTTACAGGGAAAAGTCTGGAAAGACAACAATATATGAATACTAATCTTAAAGAGGTGAGATCCTAGTTATATACCATTTATTCATTTTCTTCATCTATATCTCCTAATATTCCTACAATGAACATGTAAATCTTTTGTAATAAGAAAGCAAAATTATTTTTTGTTGTTGTTGTTAAAAAATAATTCTTCCTTGCACACACTGCCCTCTCACCCTGCTGTACTCTAGGGCCCTGGGACCAACCAATACTCACAAACCCCCGTCCTTAAGCTGATTTTCTCCCATGTGGTAGAGGTGGGGATCAGCATGCGCTGAGTGYAGTCATGGATTGTCAGATGAGTTTTTGACATGTTCTTTTACGAATACAGTTTGTATGAGTTTGCTTGGACTTTTGTAACAAAGCACTACAGATGTGGTTGTTTAAAGAACAGAAATTCATTTTCTCAGTCTAGGAGCTAAAAGCCCAAGATCAAAGTGTTGGAAGAATGGTCCCATCTAAAGGCTCTCTTCTTGACTTTCAGATGGTCACCTTCTCTCTGTATCCTCAGTCTTCCCCTTTTTCCTGTCTGTGTCCATATTTCTTCTTCTTAGAAGAATACCAAGCATATTGGATTCAGGTCCACCATAATAATTCATTTTAACTTCATTACCTTTTTAAATATTCTATCTTCAAATGCAGGATCATTATGAGGTGCTGGGGATTAGGATTTCATCACATGAATTGGGGAAGGGGGTCACAGTGCCTCCTGTGACAGAGCTCCTGCTCCCCACATCACAGTGTCCCTGGTAAACTGAGGTGCATTCATATCTTCATCCCTGACCCTGGGTTCACAATGTACTAGAAACACATTAATTATACATTACAATGGGTCTGTATTCTAAAGTCGGCTTCAGCAAACATTCAGCTCCTTGCTGTGACATCCTTACAGTTGGCCGAGCATATTCAAACATAAAAATTATAGAATATGGATTCTAAGCATGGAAAAATGAATTCTAGTACTGTTTGGCCAGAGGGAAAAAGAATTTCAAAGACTTGATAGAGTCAGCACTATCCATCACAGTATTCCCAGTATCTGCAAAGATGTCTCAGAGGTGAGACATAAAAACAGATGTCTTGTCTCTACCATTTCACAAGTTGGAGAGGCCTCCTGTCACCCACTTTCTAGATCATTTCATACAAGTGCAGTTCTGTTCTGTTGGAAAGGAATTACTGTTCGCTGGCTGATGCCCATCTCGATGGATTCTGAGCTCCTCAAGTAATGAGAGGACTGACTACTGATCTGCCGAAGTACCTTCTGGCTGTCCACCTGCAGGAGATGGTGGCTTCTGACTGCTCATTTAAGCCAGTAGTCCAAAATCATTACCTCTGATTAGCATGATATTGAATCTTAGAACATTGGAAATACTTTTTTAGAGAAAAGAAAAAAAACTAAAGTAGCTATCGAGTAAACGTAGATTTCACATTATACATTTTTATTTTTAGTGCCTCTCCAGGCTTTAAGTAGTTCTAAAATCCACTTACTCCCCTTAGAAAATAATACAGAACACTACAGTCAACTCCCAGTTATTCTAGGTCCTTTAGTTCATTCAGTTCTGCAGTTCTTTTCTTCTACTTCTCTCTTTTCTTTATATATTTTTAGGCATTTCATTGCCCATTAGCATGCTCAAGGAGATTGAATGAATAAAAGAAAGAATAATGGAAATTCAGTTTAGCCTGTAAATTAATAACCAAAGCTATATTTCAAAAGTAATGGGCCTATAACCAAAAAAATACTATAAAGGAAAAGCAAACAAATTCAGAGTTAATCTATAAATATAATAATGCCCACTAAATCTGATGCTCTTTACCACAGATAGCAGTATTTTGTAATTTAATGGCTCTTTCAAAAGCTTATTAGATATCCATGTTGCTTTTCTTTGTTTGTTGTAACTTTCAATGAGATTACTATGTTACACTTTAAAAGGACACAGTTATCTCCTAATATTCCACACTCATGTGTATCAGAGAAGTAGAAAGTAGCAGGCAGATGATGGAAACCAGAAATGGACAAATGGCAAAAGAAGAAAGTTAACTTTAAGGGCTGGTGTGATATTACCATAGCAAATTTATTTTGATCAATATGATATGATTGGTAGTTTTAGTTCATATATCAAACTAAAATTGCAATAACAAACAGAAAGTTAATATTTAAGTATTTGAGTCACTTTGTGTAATTTTAGAAATTAAGTAGCACAGAAATGATATTTTATCATGAGTACATAAGAACAATAATGATAAAACTTTGATTGAATCCTGTGACAGGCATGTTCTAAATGCTTTTTCCCTGTTATCTCATTTAATTCTCCCTGTACCCCTATGAAATTGTGATATTATTATCCCCATTTTATGCATGAGGAAACAGAGACCTAAAGCTAAGTCATGTGTTCATGTAAAGGACCCACAGTGCACACCAGGCCATCTAATGTCACAGCCCTCCTTCAGTCACATTGTAAATTGTGCTCTAGGCAGTCACATCAATTTCCCTTCAGCATCTTTCATTTCTTCCCTTCCTTCCTGCCCACCTTTCACTCTTCCATCTTCAGTTGGTCCAGATCCTCCATCTCATGCAAGCCATTTTACCTTGCTACTGCTCCACACTGTCTTGCAGCTCCAGCTGCCATACCTCTTAACTGCATCATCTTCAAAGGATGCCAGAGATAGAAGATTAGGCAAATTGGGGAAGTGGCCTTTTGTTGACCCTTCTCTGTTTTGATCAGGTATCTAGGAAGAGATCCAGGATAATAGCTATGCTGGTCTGTGTCCATTTACCCAGGCAGGGAAGCAAATGATGAGGTTATCTGAGGTCTGTTTCAAGATGCAAAAGGTAATAGTGGGAGATGGACAGCTGTTGTCAACAGATGAGCAAGTGGAAGGTAGCAGATTGCAAGTAAGAAATAGCAAGCCAAAATCTACATGAGTGAAACTAAGGTAGAGCTGGGGAAAGTTTTCAGATTCTGGGTGACTAGTTTGCTATCGAGGAGAGCTATGCTTTTCAGACCCTGCTGTACGTGGGAATGCCTTTCAGAACAGCGCTTAAAGAATACAGTAACTTGGATAGAGAAGGACAAGGAGGTAACTTGAGATAGGTCCACTCTGTAGTGCTTAGTAATTTGATATTAACTTGAGAGTTCTAGAGTAATTAGCATCTGTTAGTTCCAGAAATGTTCATAGATTTAAAAATATAACTCACACATAGATTTAAAAATGTAACTCACCAGTTCTCCACCCCCACTCCATCCCTGGTACTAGGGATTGAACCCAAGGGCTCTCCAACACTGAGCTATACACCACCCCCTAGCCCTTTTTATTTTTATTTTGAGACCAGGCCT